TAAGCGAGCCCCTCGCCCACCGCCCGACGGCCCTGACCACGGCTCCCCGCCCAGCCGTGGCGTCAGCTCCAGCCCCTCGAGAACCGCGGAGTGGGGAGTGGGCTCGGCCGGAGCTGACCTGCCTCTCCTCTCCAGGCCGCCTGGGTTCCACTTCCAGTAACAGCTCCTGTGGGAGTGCCGAGTGCCCCGGGGAAGCCATCCCCCACCACCCCGGTGAGTGCCGGCCCACCTCCCCTCTGCCCCAGGAGCGGGCGGCAGCACCATGACCCCGCTTGGCTTCTCTCAGGTCTCCCCAAGGCTGACCCCGGTCACTGGTGGGCGAGCTTCTTTTTCGGGAAGTCCACGCTCCCCTTCATGGCCACAGTGTTGGAGTCCCCAGAGCAGTGAGTCCAACTCCCTGGGGGCGGGTGGGAAGTGGGGGCAGGTGGGGACAGCCTCTGACCGCACTCTCTCTCCCCAGCTCACCATCTTCCCAGGCCTCCAGCAGCATGATCACCTGTGACCTGGCTCAGGAAGCCACAAGGAAGCAGCCTGGTGGCCAGCCCAGCACAGCCAACACCGGGCCCCCATCCTGAGTGGCCACCACCAGCCACCAGACTTCAGAGGCGCTGGGCTCTTCTGAGTCCCTTTCCCCACCGCACCCCGCCCCATAGACCAGGCAGGCTGCAGCCAGCAGAAGCAGTTGGCTTCTTTAATATCGAAACAGCAAAACACCAGCAAGGAACCTGAGTGTCGCTCTTTCCCGTCCTAGCCACACGCGAGCCTCCCTGACACCCATAACCGTGTGCCTTGCACCAAGCGCAAAATAAACAAGCGGCCAGCAGCCCCGACGGTGCCTGTCAGCTGTGTCCTGAGACGTGTAGAAGGCACCGAACCCCTCCACTCAACCGCCTTACTTCCCAGTGGGGGTGGGGAGCTGGCCCTGTCCCCAGGCCTTCCTGGAGCTCCTTGCTGGGGGCTACTTCTGAGGCCTGACCCAGATCCCCCCTCCCCAAGCTGCTCGAAGGAGCTGGACAGGCTCTTGAGGTCAGGGCCTCCGGGGGACTCAGCTTCTGGCCCCGTGGCCACTGGGAGGCTGCGCCTCTGGCTGTGAGCTTGGGAGCCTTTGGCTAGAGGGACCCAGTACCTTCTGTAAGAGCCAAAGAGGCCCCCAACATCTAGGGAGGGAGGGAAGGGGAAGGGACAAGACCGGCTGTTGCCCCCGGTGCCTTCCCATAAGGTGTCACCTCCTCTAGCCCCTGTGGGGTACACTCTGGGCTGGACCTGTGCGTGGTCTCAGGCACCCAAAACTAAGAGGAGTGAGTGGGGCGCTGCATAGCTGCCTTCCCACCACAGCCCAGCTTGGGGCAAAGTCCAGCTCGGACCTGGGGAGAGTGGTTGTGTCATCTTCCTCGTGTCCACGTGCCCCAGGGGCCAAGAGGCTGACCCATGTCTGTTGAGTGCCCCAGGAGAGTGCAGCCTGCCGTGAGGTGGGGGACTTGGAGAGGAGCGGCTTCCACTGGCCACTGGGTGGGGTTCAGGTGGCCCCTAAGAGAGTCTTCCTTTCCTGTCCCCCTCAACCTGTGCTATAGATGTTCGCATGAATTTATTCTAAGGCACTTGTGAGGTTTGTGGCGCCAGGTGGCAGCCTGTGTTCTGCCAACCCTCTGTCCAGGCGGGTGGATGGGGCAGCCCTGTCCCCTGCCTTGTGGTCCCAGGGCTGGTAGGCTGGGCCCTTGTTCCCACCTGCTCAGATGGATCTGGGATGGGGAGGTGTCCCTAAGGATAGCCTGGGCCACAGCCAGTCTTTCTGGCCAGTGTTCAGGCAGAGTCCCCAGATCCTCCTGGTGGCCATGGCAGAAGACAGCTGCCTGGCACAGGGTAACAGGCAGCAGTGCCCCATCCCGTCTATAGGTTGCTGGGGGACCTAGGGGCAGCAGGGGCCAGGTGGCGAAGGGAGCGCACAGCCAGAGCTGAGGGTCCCATCGTGCACTGCCCGTGGAGGCCTGCCCCTGGGCCTGCCTGAGCCAGTGGGCTTCGGTCAGTGCCAGGGATGGTCCACTCTTGGAGGCTTCCAGAGTTGGCGTCGGCTGTGGAGGCCCAGCACTTGCCAGGAGCTGGCATCTTGGAAGGGGCAGCCTCAGCCCCCAGACCGCAGAGGGCTACTTCCCTGTCCAGTGTCCAGCCTGCTCAGAAGAGCTGTGGGCGCCTTGTGGCCAGCCCCGAGGCAGCAGCAGGGAGGCCGGTGCTCAGAGTGGGCTCTCGTACCTCGTGGAGCTGGAGAGCCTCTCCCGCAGAGCCTGGAAGCTCGGCCTCTGCTCAGGGTCCTTGTGCCAACACCAGAGCATCAGCCGATGTGCCGTGGGCGGGCACCCCTGCGGGCAGGGCATGCGGTAGCCCGCGTCCACCCGCAGGAAGGCCTCGTGGTTGGACATGCCTGTGGGGAGCAGGACAGGAGGCTGCCAGGTCTGGGGGGCCAGTGCCCACCTACCCTGTCCCGCCCCGCCCTCTGAAAGTCACACCCCACTTCCGGCTGCCCTTCCCAGGAAAGCTTCGGTCACGCGTGCCCATCTCTAATGCCCGCCCCTGGACAGCGCGGGCCCCCAGAATGGTGTCCAGGTGACGGCCCCTCCCACCTTGCCTGCAGTCCGGGACCCTAGGGGCCCGGTACCTGGATAGGGCGTTTGACCCCTGCTGAAAATCTCATGCAGGAGCACGCCGAAGGACCAGACGTCGGATTTGATGGAGTACTGCCCCCGGGAGAGCGCCTCGGGGGCGGTCCACTTGTAGGGGACGTTGCGGTCACGGGAAAGGTAGACGTCCTCCTGCAATCAGACATGCGCCGTGGGGGCCACCCGCCCCCTCCTCAGCACAGACAGGCGGACCAGTTGCGGTGGGCAGGTGTGCAGCGCCCCAGCGCGGAGCCTGTGAGCACTGTCATGTGCAGGCCGCACGTCACCACTAGGGGGAGGCGGCAGGTCCGCCCTGTGAGTGTGAAGGGACGGCGGGTGGCCCGAGCTGGGAAGTCAGGATGGAGGAGCCCGCGTGGTGGAGCCCGCAGTCTGTTCAGACTCAGGAGTTCACAGAGATGCCAGAGGAAGGCTGATGGGCCGGCCGCCAGCGGACAAACTTGAAAAAGCCCAAGAGTCATGCTCAGCCTTCCCGGCTGACCCGCCCCACTGCTGGCCACCGAGCGGATTAGAGAAACGTCTCTTTCCAGAAGCCTCCGGCTTACAATGAGGAGAGAGCTACACCATCTGAGTATCACGCAGGCGAGCGAAGGGACCTGGACGCTGGCCATCGCGGTAACGTCAACAGGTCCCCCCACCTGCCGGCAGGCCCCGCCTCAGGGGTGGGCAAAGTGGAATTCAGAGCTAAGGCTTCAGGAAAAGAGCAAGTTTCTCAAAAAGTGCGTTTGGGGAAGACAGCAGGCAGCCTAGCAGTTGGGAGGCGTGGGTCTGCCAAGGAACAAACACATTCATGGCATTTGAAAGAATCTGGAAACATCTCTGAGGGCCTGTGATGACTGAGGAGTCACCGTCAGGTCTTGAAGGTGTGGCTGTGGTATTCTGGAGCCCTTACGGATATGGGGTGTACATGCCGCGGGCTGGGGTCTGAGTAACGGGGAGGGAGGGGCCGCAGCAGGGGCTGGGAGGCCCGCTGCAGACTGTCCACATGTGTCTTTCACGTTCTGAGGGCACGGGAAGTCGTGGGGAGATGTTTGCCCTGAGCTCACAAACCACGCCCAGCCTCCTCCCTGGCCAACCGCCAGAAGTGGGGCAGGGACAGCGAATGGGCGCATGAGGGCTGGGCCCCTGCTCCTCCCTGGACACCGGCCCACCCACTCGGCAGAGCCCCTGGACACCTCCCTTTCCGCCTGTGGTTCCCCACTGCCCCTCCAGCTCTGAAACAGCCCTCGGCTCCCTGCCCCTGTTCAGGGAGACCCCAGGAATCTGCAGCTCTGAGCACAGGGGAGGACGCGCCCCGCCTTCCGGGGGACCCACCTTGATGAGCCTGGCCAGCCCAAAGTCTCCCACTTTGCAGATGTTGCCCTCCCCGACCAGGATGTTCCTGGCGGCCAGGTCCCGGTGGATGTAATTCTGCGATTCCAGGTAGCACATGCCCTCGGCCACCTGCGACGCGATGTCCACCAGCTCGGAGACCGGCAGGGCTTTCTCAGCAGAGTCTGTGCAGGCAAAGGGAGGCCAGGGTCAGCGCAGCCCGCTGAGGCCATGTCCCCTCTGTCACATGCTCTACTGGCTCCTGGGCTCAGGGGAGGGGCTGGGGCAAAGGGCAGGTGGCCCGATTTAAACTGGGAGAGTGAGCCCGCCGTGACCCTTCTGGAAGGGACGGCGGGTGGCCCGAGCTGGGAACCCACACTAAAGAGATGTGAACTCAGACGTAAGCGCCAAGGCGTCCATCACAGCATCGCTTACACAAAAAACCCTGAAAAGGTTCGGCGGACCCCTGGCTACGGGACACAGCACACCTGCACGGAAGTGTGCAGGCCCAGTGCTCACTCCCCAGGGACAGTCAGTGGGACACTGCTCGCAGCGATCCAGCTTTCGTCAGCAGTTTTATATTCTGAGTTTTCCAAACATGGATACATAGAAATAAATTCCCAGATACACATATCACGTAGCAGATGCCACTTATCCTGCGAAGCACATCCTCGCCTTCCACCGGCCCTGAAACGGGCTGCATCTGTGCCCTCGGCGGTAGCGACTGCCTGGTTTGGGTGTCACATCATGGGGCTCGTTACAGATGGCGCCTTTGAGTCAACGAGCCCCGTGGGAGTGTGTGTGCGCACGCGTGTGCCTGCACGGGTGCAGTGTGCGTGGGCGTGTGAGTGTGTGTGCACGTTCAGTGACCGGAGGAGGGACGGCCCTTCTAGGAAAAGAGAAAAGCGGAGAGGCCTGCGTGCTGGGAAGCTGGCCGGGAGCAGCCCCCGCCGGTGCCACGGAAAAGCAGCCTGTCACCTGTGGGCGCAGGAATCGGGAGTGGCTCGTCCTGTGTGTACCTACTGGATTCCCTCACATTCCCGCAGTGGACAGATGCTTTTAAACAGAAAGACCTGACAAAGGCATCGAGAGCCCCCCAGCCACCCCGTGTATGGTGTGGGGGTGACCTGGGCTTTCTCTCTGTTTCTTTGTGGGTCTCCCCCATTCCCTCCAGCGAGCCCGTGGCCCCTTGGTCTTCCGCAAGGAGCTGCAGGCGCCGCCCCCGCTCACCGCGCAGCAGCTCCAGCAGGCTCCCCTTGTCCATGACCTCTGTGATGATGTACACGGGGTCCCCCACGGACGCCACAGCATACAGCGCCAGGATGTGCTTGTGCCGAAGCTTCTTCATGGCCTGGATCTCCGCCTGGAAGGTGTGCTGGTGCAGGAGGTCATCTGCAGGTGAGGGTGGCCTCAGCGGGTGCAGCCCTGCGGCCGCCTCCCCACCCACCCACACTCAATGAGTGTGGGCGCCCTGCCGGGACGCCCCAGCTCCCAAGGCCAGGGTGCCAGGGCAGACACGACCTAGTCCCAGGACACCCCAGCACCCTACCCACTGTCTCCACCCTCTGCTCTCACAGCACCCCAGACACCATCAGTACCCACATTTGGCCAACACCTGCCCAAGCCAGATACGGAGCTGGGACAACCCCCAGTATGTTCCCAGGGCCAGGGCCCCTGGTGCTTCCCAGGGAGATTGTAGATCGACCTTTCCCGATTTCTAGTGATCTAGTGATTTTAGTGGTATTCCATTCACTAAGAATTTAAGGTTCCCTCACAATAAATGCATTTAGGTAAAAACATTTGAAATCGAAAGGGAAATGTCACCTCCATACTGCTATAGGTGCCACATGTGGCACAATTTAGGGCAGCATGTGGCACGCGGGTCATAAGGGGCGCGGTCTGGCTCGGCCCCACCCCCAGTGAGTGAGGCGGGCGCCCCGTGGGTGGGCCTGGGGGCAGGGCCGCTTACCTCGGGCGATGACCTTAATGGCCACTCGGACCTGGCCCTTCCAGAACCCTTCGAAGACCTCCCCGAAGTAGCCGGACCCCAGCTTCCTGCAGAGCGTGAACTCCTCCCGAGGCCTCTCCCAGTCAGCACAGTGGGGCAGGGGCTCCGGCTCGTGCTGGAGAGACAGGGCAGGGCGGTGGGGGCTCCTCGCACCGAACACCCCCCAGGAGTTCCCAACGCGCCCGGCAGGGGGAGCCCCTGGCCAATCTCGGGTCAGCTGGGGAGTCCCAGGGTGCAGAGCGTGACCACACTCCAGGCTCCCCCAGGGGCTGGCCCCTGCTGTGTCCTGCAAACATGTGCCACCCTTACCGCCTGCTCTGGGCCAGTTATAATGCCCCAAGTGCCACTCAGAAAACCCGTCCAGCTTCTGGCCAGGGCACATGCCCTTGTCACCTGGCTCCCACGGGCCCAGAGAGACTCAGGACATGGCGGAGCAACGTGACCTCTGCTGGCCACGGAGCGGGAGTGACGTGGCAAAGAAGGGCACGTCCCCCGCCCCAGCCTCCGGCCCGTGCCCAGCTCCACGGGACCAGCCAGTGTCCCTTGGGGTCCACTCCAGCCGGTCAGCCTGTCAGGACGCCCGCCCACCCTGTGTGACCCCGGGAGTCCGTGTCGTCATGCAGAGAGGGCCATAGTGGGGCAGGGCTGGGGCAGGCAGGGCGGGGGGCGGCCCTACTTTCCAGCAGGGCAGGGTCAGCCGCAGGCCGTGGGACAGGCTCCGGGTCCGGTGATGGTCCACGAGCTCGGGCAGGCTGGGGAAGGACACGGCGTCGCTGAGGTGCAGCCGGCCCGCCCGCCGCCAGATCTTGTAGTGCCTCACGGCCTGCCTGTCCCGCACTGGAGCAGGGGGGACACGTGTGAACAGGCGTGTGCGCCCCTGGGACCACCCCCTCAGAGGGGAGCCAGGAGAAGGCGAGGGGTGCGAGGGGGAGAGACGGGGCGCGCCCAGCAGGGCAAGGAGAAACCCAGGCCCAGGACCCCAGCAGAGAGCCGGCCGGCCGGGCTGGGCCCACACCCCTGTCAGGGTTTCCTAGGGACGGAAGAGACGGCCTGGACACTGAGGCCAGCGGGACAGGCCAGGCCAGAGGGGCCAGGCCCCCCGCATGCCAGAGGGAGGGTTAGGGGCCGGGGGAACGGTGGGGGCTGCCATACCCGAGAGCACGTAGTCGGCGCCCGGCTTCTCGCTGGCCCTGATCAGGAAGGTCCCGGGCTCCGTGCCCGCGGCCTGCAGCCGGTGCGAGGCCTCCGAGCGGGAGATGCGGCCGAAGAACCACCTGGGGGTCCAGAGCCCACGCTGACCCAACGCCGACCCCACGGCACCCCTCCGCCTCCTCATGCTGCCGGCCCCGACCCACAGCTGCCCTCCGATACTGCCCATGACCCAGGCCCCTCTTCGCCCATCATAGACCCCGAGTGTCCCAGGTGGCTGGTTCCAGGCACCAAGAAAGGTCCTAGTGACCCATAAGAGGTCCCCCCATCCTGTCAGTGGGGTCGGAGCCACCCTGTGCCAGGGACGTGTTGTTCATCCCATGGGGCCACATTGTCCTGTGATTCTGTGACCACCTCCTGTGACCCGGGCCACAGACACACTGCTCCAGCTCCATGAGACCTGGGATTGGGTGTCAAGCAGCAGGCCGCGCACACATGTGCTTCATTCAACACATACATCTGCACACACGTATACACACTCACACACTCGCGCATCCCACACCAGCAGCCAGCCCCTGGGCTCGGGGCGGCAGCGTGGGGCCTGCGAGCGCCCCAGCTGACCTCTGCTGCCAGCCGCTCTGCCCCCGGTACCCCGAGTCCATCAGGCACTGTGGGTCCATGCCCACTCCAGACCGACCCTGCACACCTCAGACCCTTGTCACTCGCCCATCCACCCTGCCTCCTTCCCGCTTCTCAAAATCGCTGCTTCTCAGGGCCTCCCCCTACCCCGCCCGCCGCGTCATGCCCGTCGTGGGACCCATGCCTTTGAAGCTGTCCTGTTTCCCACTGAGCTTGCTTCCTGCTCAGCTCCCATCAGTGGGCGGGAACAGCACCCAGCGGGTGCTCAGTCAAGGCGGGTGAATGGTGAGGGACACGGGGATCGGGAGCACAGGTGGGCTGCAGAGGAGCGCCCCCTGCTGGGCCCCCGCACCGGAGCTCAGAGGAGCCACCCCAGGCCGCTGCGGGCGTGCCCACAGCAGGCTGCCCGTGGTGGTTCAGGCATCCTTGGGCAGTGCCCAGGGGCTGCCGCCACCTCCTGAAGCCACCTTGCCGGTGACGGGGCAGCCGCGAGGGTGCAGGGAGCAGAGCCGGAAGCCCACGCCCCAGACGGGCATGTTGCAATGGCCTCCTCCTCCTAACTAGGTCATGCATCTGGTTTCGGTTATTTGAAAGGTGAGTGAAGCCTGCTTCCCAAAAGGCTGCGTCTCCGCCCCGAACTCCCACGAAGACCCTGCCAGCCTCGCGGAAGCCCACTGCGGCCTTTTCTGTCCTGTTTGGGTCCTGGAGCCATGAAGTAACCACAGGGGAGGGCCACACTCCTCGGTGCCCCAGCCCCCAGACGTCACTGGCAAAGCCCCGTCGGCACTCCCGGGACCGGGAGGGGGGGTCCAGCCCTGACGAGGGCACAGGTCCAGTGAGCCACGAGTCTCGCCAGCCAGCACCCCTGCCCTCCCCGGGCTCGCCCGCAGTGCGCTGCTGCCCCTCTGCGACCCCCACCCCAGCTCCTGAGGGGCAGCAGGGTGGGGGGGGGGACCTTGGAGAGGGCGCAGGGACACTCACGGCTCAGACTCCACCGTCTCCTTCTCAGCCAGGTAGTTGCGGGGCACATAGCCCTCGGCCAGGGCCCTGCCCGCTGCGTCCAGCCGCGTGGCCCACCACCACTCGTCCTCCCTCCTGGCCACGTGGAAGGTGTCCCCCGCCCGGAAGCTCAGCTCCTCGGCCGTGCGGGCCTCGAAGTCCCAGAGGCCCACGTACCTGGGGCCCAGGTGAGCCTGGCCCCGGGACACCATGGCCACTGCGGCAGCAGGACCAGGCCACCTGGCCTTGCCGCCTGTCACTGGGCCGGCTGCGAGCACGGAGGTGGGCGGGGCCAAGCCGACCGGCCACCACCCCCAGCTGAGGAACTGGCGCACTTCCCCGGGCCAGGCGCCTCCTCAGCACCCTGGGCTCCGCCCGAGGGCCGGGCAGCCCCCGTCTATCCTCCCCCTGCCAGGGCCGGCCAGTGTGAGCAGCGCTCCTGCCCACCTGCCAAGTGACCACGTGGCCGGACCTGAGCCAGGGCGAGAGAGAGCAGAGTGACCAGTCAGACAGGGTCCTCCTGGGGTCCGAGCCTTGGAGTGAGAGGGGACTGGGAGGGACCAAGGCTGAAGGACCAGTCACTCCCTTCCCAAACCTCCAGGGCCACTGGGACCGAGCCAGGACACGGGGGCAGCAGGCCCTCGGCAGTAGCTGCTGGAAGCCCAGGTGGGCGCTGCCTCTTGCTCCGGTCCCGGCACCCCCTTCTCCCCACGAGCCCACCCCACCCACGCCCTGCCCACACAAGGGGGGGTGGGCCAGGGGCTCCGCCAAGACAGGGGGACTGTGAAAGCAGATGGCCGCTGAACCCCACGGGCTGGAACGCCCCCTTCCGTTGGAGACAGTGGTGGCACAGCCACTCCATCTGTGCAGGAGGGACAGGCACGTGTGCTGCTCACAAAGTCACAGCCCAGCACCATTCCCGCTGAGGTATGGAGGGGCAGCAGACGGGAGGGGAGGCTGATGGGGGCTGCTAAGCACCTGTGGGCCCCGGGCGCTCCAAGCCCCCTCCCCCCGCTGCTCACCAATTCCCTCTGGCCCCTCAGCCCAGGGCCTGGCCCGTGAGCCTGTGTCCAGTGGACCTCACGTGTCACTGGGTGCAGGAGTACCCGGGGCTCTACCTGGGCCACACCAGGAAGCAAGAAGGTTTCGAGACTGAGCGCCCCGCCCCCCCCACCCCGAGGCTCTGGAGCACAAACCTGTCCAGCATGTGGCTGGTGAGACTCCAGGGATGACCCCACGCACACCTGCCTCCCTGGCCAGGCGCCATGCCCCGCCCAGCACATTCCTGCCCGGCACTGGCCGCCAGCCCAGCCTCCCTTCGCTCAGCTCACCTCAGCTCCCAGCAAGGAGGAGGGCCCCCAGCCTGGAGGAGCTCAGCTCAAGCCCTCGCCCTCGGGCCCACATGCCAGGGCTGGGCCCCACCTCTCCCAGGACAGGACGAGAGTCGAGGGCTGCTGCTTGGGGTCCCATGCAGCTCAGGCCAAACACTCCCGCCCCCACCCTCCATCCGGGGGGTGGGCAGTCCCAGCCTGGCTGCTGAGGCTCCAAGGGGCTCCCGCCCTCCATGCTCGGCCCTACCCTACAGCCAGCCTGATCAGGGCCCTCAAGTGGCCAGCTCCTCCTCCTCCCTCTGTGCTGCCCCCACCCTTCCTGCCGAATGCTCATCCCCCACCCCCACCACGCCAGCCCTGCACAGCTGTGTCCTCCTGTGGCTCCAGGGGGTCAGAGGGCACCCTGCAGTCAAGGGTCCCAGCTCCGTCCTGCACAGGCAAGGCCTGTGGTCATTGGTGAGGCTGGCCCTAAACTGTGCAGCGGCCGTTCCCTCCAGGATCACTGAGCCGAGGGCAGCCGGGCATGCCTTTGCCCCTTCTGTCCCCACAAGCCTTTGGGGCACAGCTGTCAGCAAAGAGCTCCCGGCAGGGTGGGGGTCGGGCATCCCGAAGGCAGACCCTGCCGCTATGCCCCGTCCTCTCTGTACCTATCTGCAGCTGGGCAGGCGAGCAACGAACAACGGTCACGGCCGCCCAGCTGTATTCGGTGGCTCTGGCTGTGTCTGGAACCAGGCTGGGTGGGGGGTGGGCTCACTGGGAACGCTGCTCTGTGCTCCAGACGGCTGTCACCCAGTTGTCTGCATCCCACGGCGCTCACCCTGCACCCTGCCCGACTGTACAGGGCCGGCGCCAGACCCCCACCCCCGAAGCAGACATGCTGGCTTTGTCTCACCTTGTCCCGCCCCCAGAGAACCGACCACGGGGGCACTCATCCCCCAAAAGAGCCACCCACCGCCGGCCCGTCCTCCCGGCACCCCGACCCAGCCCCAGCCGCGGCAGACCGGCAGGCAGATGGCCCGTCAGCGGCAGCTCTGGTTTGGGGATCAAGGCCCTTGGGCGACACATCCCTGTGCGTGCCTGAGTCCGTCACACGCGTTTATTGAGTGCCTCTGCTCGCGTGCATGGTCCATGGCGTGCCCCTGGGAGCCCCGCCCCTGGCCCTTAAACAGGGCCGAGGGACTTCAGAAAAAACTGGGAAGCCATGCCTCTTGCTCTTGACCTTGGAGAGAGTCCAGGGGGCCAAGGGCAGCAGGCAGGTGCCAGCAGGAGGGGCCTCGGCCTGGGCTCAGGACTCCTCTGTCCACAGTCTCCCCGAGGCTACCCCAAACACCGGCTCCAGCTGGCCTTCTCTGCCGAGTCCTGGCCACCCAGGCGGACGGCGACCCCTCCTCTCCCCGGGTGGGTGTCTGCACGTGTGTCTGCACGTGTCTGCCTCGCGTGTGCACACGTGTGCGTGTCTGCCTTGAGGCCCACGGCCAGGGTCTCTGTGGCCAGTGGCACTTCCGGACAACCCGGCACCCCTGTCCACGTTGACAACAAACACCGTCCTGGGGGCCCCCGGGGAGGAGAGGCCCAGCCGCGGCCCAGTGCCCGGGGTCACGTGAGGGCAGGGGGGAGGCGCCCACGGATGGCGCCCAGCTTCTCCTGCAGTGCCGTGAAGGCCGGCCGCTCCTCCGGGCTGGCCTGCCAGCACGCCAGCATGAGCGCATACGCCTCGGCCGGGCAGGCGGCGGGGCGCGGCAGGCGGTAGCCCCTCGCGATCCGCTGCAGAGTCTCCTGGTTGCTCATTCCTGGGGAGGGGGTGAGAGGGGCCAGGCATCCGTGGAGACCTCCCCCCGCCCTCGCCCGGCCCTGCCCCTGCTGAGCCGGCAGCCCTGGGGCCTGGTCACCCCGCACCCCCCACCCCGGGAAGCCTGCAGCCCACCTTCATAGGGACACTGGCCGTAAGTGAACACTTCGTAGAGCAGCACTCCGAAGGACCAGACGTCCGACTTCTGGGAGTAGATACGGTAGTTGGCCGCCTCGGGCGCCGTCCACTTGACGGGGATCTTGGAGCCGCTGCTCGGGGAGTAGACATCATCCTGGTGAGGGGACACCATGCTGGGGTGGGCGGAGTAGCGCCCGCCCCTCCCAGCCACTCGGCGCCCTGCCCCAGGCGGGGGCCTGAGCCCACACCGACCTTGAGCAGCCGGGCCAGGCCGAAGTCGGCCACCTTGCAGGCCAGGGCATCGCCCACGAGCACGTTCCTCGCGGCCAGGTCCCGGTGCACGATCCGCCGCTCCTCCAGGTAGCTCATGCCCTCGGCCACCTGGCAGGCGAAGTCCAGCAGGACAGGCGGGCTCAGGGCCCGGCCCTCGGGGCCTGCGGGGAGGGCCGGCAGTCAGGGGGCTGGCGTCTTCCCGGTGACATCCCTCTGTGCCTCCGGTTCCCCATCTGTGAGACGGGGTGAGGACAGCACCACCCGCCAAAGCTGCAGCGGGCACTGCAGCCCCGGGGACTGCTCAAGGCAAGCTCCTCCTTGGGGACTGGGAGCACAGAAGGGCCAGCCGGGGTGGGGGACACGGAGGGCTGAGCTGGGTCCATGCAGACCTCGTTCAGGCTGGTGACCCAGACGGGCCTGCCCCCACCTGCCCTCCACCCAGTCTGGAACCCCACACTGACTGTCCCTCCATAAGGCCAGGCCTGGCCCAGACCAGGGACCCTGAGCCCACTGTTGGCCAGAGTCGCCCACAGCCCCGGGGCCTCTGGAAATCCAGCTTCAGTGACAAAGGCCTGGCTGAGAGGCGGGCAGGTGTCTGTCCCCCGGGCCGGGAGGGCGCGGCCGCACACAGGCCGCTGCGAGGGGCCGCACTCACTGCCCAGGAAGGCCTGCAGGCTGCCCTTGCTCATGAGCTCGGTGACGACGTACACCGGCTCGCCCACGGAGCACACGGCATGCAGCCGGATGAGCCGCTTGTGACGCAGGCTCTTGAGCGTCTGGATCTCCTTGGTGAGGTCGGCCAGCTTCATGTTGGCTGCGGGAGGGCGAGGCGAGGCTCAGGGCCCGCCCCCCCACCTGCGGCCGCCCCTCCCCCCGGGGCTGGGGCCTCACCCACCTGATTTGATGACCTTCACTGCCACAGGGACCGAGCCCAGCCACAGGCCTTCCCACACCTCCCCAAAGTAGCCTTCGCCCAGCTTCCTGTGCAGGGCAAACTCGGAGCGCGGCCGTTCCCACTCGTCCTGCTCGGGGGGCTTCTGTGGGGGTGGGGGCACTCAGCGCCAAGGCCCGTGTCCCCGGCCCAGTGGGCAGTTTCCCCAGAGGACCAGGCGTCTGTACCTGGGCCCCAGCACACACCCAGCTCTGGCCCCGGCTGGGGTGGGGGGCCAGGTGCCGAGCTCCTTGGGCCTGGCCCCAGACCTAAGTGGCACCTCTGCTGGCGATGGCCCTCCATCCACAAACACTCATTACTGCCTGGCTGGGCTGTCATTACGGGACCAGAGGAACCGGCTCGCCGCCCGGCCCCAGCAGGACAGCTGGTCTGGGCAGAGCTGGGGCTCCAGGCCAGGCGCAGACGGTTGAGTCAGCGTCCCCTCCCACACCCTCCACCCGGGGCCCTCCGCAGATGCCTCCCCAAGCTCACCCCTGCCCTCCGGCTGCTGCCCTGCCAGGAGTCCCCCCCAGCAGCCCCCGAGGCGGAGATGTGACACCTGGGGGAGCAGACGCAGCAGGCAGATGTGGGGCTCTCGGCCTCATCAGACCCCCACGGCGGAGGGGCAGCCGGGCAGGCAGGGGGGGCAGCCCACCTGGGCCACGCAGGGCTGCAGCAGCGGGTTCTGGATCAGCTTCCAGTTGGCCTGGTAGTAGGTGAGCAGCTCCTCCAGGCTGGGGAAGAGACGGCCCTTCTGCAGGTAGAGGCCGCCGTCGGCCGCCGTGCAGATGCGGTAGTGGCGGACTCTGGCCTGGGCCCGAACTGGGAGGGGACAGAGATGGAGGCCGAGCACCGGACCCTCCCAGGCCCCACACCCCCCAGGGGACCACCACGCCCCTTCTCCGGGCCTGGCTCAGATCTGGCCTTGAGACAGCGGCCGGAGCTGCATATGGAAAGAGGGAGTGTGGGCAGCTGCGGGCCACAGTGGGCAGCTGCAGAGTAGGCACCCATGGACGCGTGGTGAGTGACGGACGCTGCGAAGAAGTCCGTGAAGGAGGAGGACTGTGAAGGGGCGAAGGGGCGAGGGACGGATGGAGGAGTGAACAGGTGAATACATGAGTGGAAACGAGTGAATCAATGAGTGGATGAGGAAATGAGTGAGTCAGCAGGTGAGCAGAGTAAGTGAATAAATGAGCGAGCGAGCGAGCGAAGGGCTGAGCAGACGCGAGGCAAGCAGCAGCGGGGACTCAGGCCCGATGTGGGGCCAGGCATGGGTGAGGGGCCGGCACTGCCTGGGGAGCAACCACCCCAAGGTCAGCAATGTTCCAGGCGGGTTGGGCTGGGCCGGGCGCCTCCGTGGGCACAGGGGCACGAGGGCCACCCTCATACCTGACAGCGAGAAGTCCCCCTGGCTGCTCTCACTGGGCCGGATGAGGAAGGCCCCTGGGGCATTGGCCGGGGACAGGAGCAGCCGCCGGGCCTCGGTTCGGCTGATGCCATTGAAGTACCAGCTGCAAAGGGTGGGCATGGTAGTCACCAGGCAGGCCCGGCCTTGAGTGACTCCTGGCCCCACACAGATCAGACCCCCTGTGCCCGCTCCGTGCGGGCGGCAGGGCTGAGCCCTGACCGTCCACCATCTCCCAGGGAGAAGGTGCACAGGCTGCCCCATGCTGGGGTCCTGGCCAGGGGTCTGTGCCTGTCCCAGCCCCCCGTGCCCAGCCTCCAGAGTGATCGGGACTGAAACAGGAGGGCTGATCGGGCCAGCATGGAGCTGACATGGCCACCTGCAGTGACCTGTGTTAGGTGAGACCAGCCACTCACCTCAGCCACAGATTTTCCATTACTCTTGCCATAAAGTGACCGCCAGCCCTGGGTACGGGCTGAACCTGTCAAACTCAAGACTGCGAAGTCCCTGTGAGGGGTGGGGGTCCACTGGGGCCCAGGGGCCCTGATGATGCTAGGTATGTGGGCTGGGCTACAGGTGCGGCCTGGAGGACCATGGGTGCCACCTGGCTGGGCACGGCCCATGTGCCTTGGGAGGTGGACACGTGGGGATAGGAGAAGCCAGCCTCAGTCCTGCAGCAGCTGGGACTGCCCAAGAGGGGGTGGCCTGAGCCAGGCTGGGCAGGAGGTCAGGAGAGGACAGGGAGAGCTGGGGCAGTGAGTGTCCGTGACCGAGGAACCCGGCCAGCACCCTGGCCCTCTGCGCATGTGGAAATGTTCCCTTTCCTCGTCTGCAGAAGGCGGGACCCTCACACCTGAGCATGGGCTGGGTCAGGGGCCCGCCTGGGGCTCCCCTGTCTGCACCTCAGCTGGGCCAGCAGTCCACCTGAGTCAGGCCAGGTGTGACTCCCGGCCTCACCCCATCTCCTGGGTCTGCTCCCCAAGGCCCAGGTCGGGGAACCTCACACCTGAGTCAACTTCCAGGGACCCAGTGGCAGGAGGTCTGTCCCTGAGAGGGAGCCACAGACCCTCAGGGACAACCCTGTGAGCGTGGCCCCTCACCCACCCTGAGGGAGAGCACAGGGTCTGGCTCTTAGACCACCAGGGGGCCCAAAGCATGACTCAAAGTGAGTCAACCCAAGGTTGGGGTGCCCTGAAAAGAGGGGGCTGGGAGGGCAAAGCTGTGCCATCTTAGGCTGGCGGGTGCTGCTGGAGCCTGGGGCGAGGGCAGGGCCGGGCAGGAGGGGGGCAGGGACAGACCTGGGAGCTGTGGGAGGGGCCTGGGAACCAACACCAGAGCTGGGGGTGGGTGGCCGGGCTGGAGGGGATAAAGCTGGAGACAGGAAGAGGTGGGGCACTGTGGGTGCCAGGCAGAGGCCCCAGGGACATTAGAAGGTAAAATCAGCAGGCGGGGCTGGTGGCGAAGGGTCCAGGACATGTGGACGTTACACGGGTCCTCAGACAACACCCGCTGGGGGGCAGGCTCAGGGAAAGCAGATCGACATTCTGGGGACACACTGATTGCAGAGCAGGAGGTACGGCCCTGAGGCTGCCAGGCTCTGCACTGAGGGTCCCCTACAGCTGGGCCCCGCCTTCTGGGACCTGCCACCAGAGAGCCTCTCGGGTGTGAAGGTGCTCTGGCGGCCCCTCCCAGGACAGTAGCGTAGGGATGCCCTTGGGGTCCCCCACTGGGGCATGGGGCAGTGGGCGAGGTAAGGCTGAGCGCTGAGGCCCCGCATGGAGGTTGAGCCGGCCGGCGACTGGGGCTAGTGCCCCCGTGAATGCGGTCAGCCTTCCATCTTCACCTGGCGGACGGTCATCGGCCCCTCCCCGCCCCCAGCCTCCTGCGGAGAACTGTTTGTCCCCCACACCTGGAGTGCGGTTGCCTCGCCCCATCAGAACGGTTGCTTGGTCCCCTCAGAAAGCACCTTCCCCTGCCATCTGCAAATCCCTCAGAGCCCGGGGACACTGAGCAGTCCCAGGACGCTGGACACAGCTTGAATGAAGCTAAGACCTAGTGCTGGTCTGCAGCGGACATGTGCAGGGCTGGAGATCAGGGACCCACATCAGGGCGGGGTCTGGGCAGCAGAGAAGGGCAGCCTGACTGGGCCGTGGGGCCGGCCTTTGCTGGCCCTGTTCGCCAGCCAACTTCGGGACCGTTCTCACCCAGCACGCCCCCTCTGTGCACGCTGGGGCTGGAAGGAGGCCTCTTTGTCCCTGAGGGCCCCCCTCGCTGATGCCCCATCCATCTAGACGTCAGAGATGGCGATGGCCATGACAGCCAGACTGGCCCACTGCATTCAGGGGAAACAAGGGTAGGGGTAACGTCCAGAGTTTGGGGAGATGCTTGAGGCCCATGGGCTATGTCCACTGCCATATGGCAGGATCCTGCTAGGAGCTGGCACACAACTATACCAGGAGGCTGCCCCGTCCTACGGACCTGGAGCTTGAGCTCAGAGGTCACCTCCTCTGAGGAGCCCTCCTGGAGAGCTCCCATCCTCTGCCTTCCCCCGGCGATCACAGACTGGCATATAAACAGCCAGGCGTCGGTTTTAACCACTTCCCGCCCGTGGACCGCCCCAGTCCGGGGGCCTCAGGCAGTCCTGGAGGAGTGGGCGGACTTCCCCACCTGTGTCTACTCCCCAGACAAGCCTCTCTGGGAGGGTCGTGTGTGCCCCGTACCGGGCCCAGTGCCGGCGGAGGGGATAAGGGGCAGGCGAGCACCCCTCTCTGGCCCAGCTCGTCACCCCTGCACCCTGTCACCATCTCACCCCTCCAGTAGGAGGGACATGCGACGGCCTCTCTCCACACCCGTGTCCTCCCTGGGAGCTGCGGGAGGACAAGGCCCTGCCCGTCTCATTCAGAACTGCGCCCCAGGCCCTAGCCCCCGCCCTCCAAGCAGAGACCCCTCAGCCAACGCCGTGGACTCGGAGGCTGTGAGTGCTCAGGTCCGGGCTGAGTTCCCATGTGACAGCAGCATACATACATGCTGTCCAGCCAACTGGCCGCTGGACCTGTCCAGGCACAGTCACTGCTGTGAGCGCCACACCGTGCCCCCTGGACGGCAGGGCCTGAGGGAGCCGGCCGCAAGCTCCGTCCTGTGCTTGCCCCTGACCCCCAGAGCAGGTGGTACTCACGGTTGGTCTGAGAGAGTCTCCGGGGTGGCCCTGGCCACACAGGCTGTGGGCACGAGCCCCATGCTGGGCGGGCCAGAGAGCCTTCGAGCAAAGATATAGTCGCCGTCTTCCCTGAGGGCGTAGAGCCTGTCCCCGCAGCTGACACTCAGCTCGTCCACACACCGCGCCGAGAAGTCGCAGACAGCCCTGACGAGCTGCCCCTGCACCCGCGGGCGGCCAAGCTCGGGGGCGGGAGGCTCCGCGGCCCGGGACTCGGAGGCAGGGGGCTCCAGCCCAGCGTCCCTGTCGGGGCCAGGGAAGCGGTGGATGCCACCATCTGGAGCGCCTGCCGGCCAGATCTTGTCCCAGAAGGAAGACAGGAAGGCCAGCCGCTTCCTGAGGAAGGGCTCCATGACCCCCGCGGTACCCCGAGCCCAGTCACCACGCGGCGCCCAGGGCCCTGCAGGGGAGGGGACTTCCGATGAAGGAACTGGAAGGGCCGGTGGGACGGCGAGTGTCGGAGCCTCGCCGCGTGCGTCCCCGCTGGCGAGGAGTGTGGGAGACAGGTCACTCCACAGGGTCCTCGGAGCAGGCGCGCACAGCCCCCTGACCACCTCCGGGCTGGTGTTCAGACTCGGCTGAGACACAGGGTGGTCCTCCAGCCCCAGGTCACACGGCGACCGCTCCTCTCCACCTCTTAGGTAGGTGTCTTGGGGGCAGGATTTGTCCCCAGCTGCTCAAAGCCAACTGCGACTGGGGAAGGAGCGCCCTTGGAGTGGCCTGGGGGCGCGGCCTGGGGGCGCGGCCTGGGGGCGGGTCCGGGGTGGGGTCTTGGGAGCTG